GCAAAGGGAAGGGAAAAGTGGTTGATAACACGGCTTCTGACCAAGATGCCCACAACCTAGAATCTTCCTCTGATGAAGGAAGAGAGACTGAGAACGAACAAAATCTCCAATCTGCTAAAATGGAAGAATTGAAAGCCCACCTCAAAGCCATTGCTAACAGAAGCGAGCTCCAAAATGAGGGAGTTACCAGGCCATATCCTGCCGAATAGGATACAACTCCGTATCCTCCAAAGTTCAAAGTCTCGACGCTACAAACTTTTGATGGCACGGGATCACCGAACCAACATATCTATCATTTCAAGTCACAGACTGGGAATGTGATATCAAACAACATCATACTAGCTAGATTATTTATTGGCACCCTCAAGGGAGTTGCCTTTGAATGCTTCAGAAAACTGCTTGCCGGATGTATCCAAAAGTGGGCGGATCTAGAGAGGCTCTTCCTATCAAGATTTTTTGAAGAGGATACAGAAGTCTCCATCCATACCCTTTTCGCTACTAAGCAGAAGAAGAGGGAGTCCGTCAAAGCCTTTGTCAAGAGGTTCCGAAATATGGTTCTACGATGTCCGACAGGTATGACACAGTCTACACTGGTGGAGACCTATCAACACAACTTGCATACCGACCTTCTAGCACAAATAAGGGTTATAGAATGTCGTTCCTGGAGATAACTAATCTCTCAATGTGAACATGCTCAAAAAATTATTGTCAGGATCAAAACTAAAGAACAAAGTAGGCAGGATCAATATGAGCAATCGGACCAAGTACAATCTTCTAAGTCAGAAAGGGAAGATACTATGGCCCCTGAAGTCAATCCTCTTCAGTAGGATGGCAGGTCTAATAACTATCACATTAATAGTTACCTCTGATAGTCAAACTTATTAGATAGTGGCTCACTAGGCGATGTGTCATGTCTACCCTTTTCTCCCCCTGCACTTATTCAAGACTGGGGGTTGGTTTATTTGTAGTTCATTAGATTATGAGTAATAATTTTTTTTTAGTTGTCATGTTCAATAGAATACCTCTGTCAACCAAAAAATCCATAGAACTATCAAGTTAACATCTACCTCTGATAGTCCATCAATCTGCCAATCCGCTTCAATAGGATGACAGGTCCGCAAAACTATCATGTAAACAGTTACCTCTGATAGTCCATCAACTTGTCAATTCTCTTCAATAGGATGGCAGGTCTACAAAACTATCATGTAAACAGTTACCTCTGATAGTCCATCAATAGGATGTTAGGCCCACAAAACTATCACGTAAACAGTTACCTCTAATAGTCCATCAATTCGCCAATCATCTTCAATAGGATGGCAGATCCACAAAACTATCACGTTAACATTTACCTCTAATAGTCCATCAACTTGTCAATCCTCTTTAATAGGATGGTAGATCCACAAAATTATCACGTTAATATTTACCTCTGATAGTCCATCAACTTGTCAATCCTCTTTAATAGGGTGGTAGGTCCATATATAAAACTATCACGTTAATAGTTACCTCTGATAGTCCATCAATTCGTCAATCCTCTTCAATAGGATGGTGGGTCCATAAAACTATCACATTAACAGTTATCTCTGATAGCCAAACTCTACAGGTAGCGGTCTACCATGTGACGTGCCTCTATTCCGACTTTATGGATAGTGGCCCATAAGGCGATATGCCATGTCTACCCCTCTTTTTCTTCCCCTGCTTAGTCTTAATCATCCCCACAAGTCGATATGCCACTGGATTAAGAGTAATGAATCTTTCACATCGTTGAGTTAACATTACACTTCTGACGATCATCATCCCCACAGAGTATGCATTCGACTCGCATTACTCTCAATTTGTCACATTAACAATATACCTCTGACAATACACTTATCAATCCTCTTCAATAGGATGATAAGCTCACAAAGTTGCTCCGATCGCAACAAATTCCCGTCATGTTAATATCACACCTCTGACAATCCACTTATCAATCCTCTTCAATAGGATGATAAGTCCATAAAGTTGCTCCGATCGTAACAAATTCTCGTCACGTTAACACCACACCTCTGACAAATCAACTTATCAATCCTCTCCAATAGGATGATAAGTCCACAAAGTTACTCTAATCGCAACACAAATTCCTATCATGTTAACACCACACATCTGACAAATTAACTTATTAATCCTTTCCAATAGGATGATAAGTCCACAAAGTTACTCTAATCGCAACACAAAATTCCTGTCACGTTAACACCACACCTCTGATGAATCAACTTATCAATCCTCTTTAATAGGATGATAAGTCCTCAAAGTTACTCTAATCGCAACACAAATTCCTGCCACGTTAATATCACACCTCTGACAAATTAACTTATCAATCCTCTTCAATAGGATGATAAGTCCACAAAGTTGCTCCGATCGTAATAAATTCCCGTCATGTTAACACCACACCTCTAACAAATCAACTTATCAATCCTCTCCAATAGGATGATAAGTTCACAAAGTTACTCTAATCGCAACACAAATTCCTGTCATGTTAACACCACACCTCTGACAAATCAACTTATCAATCCTCTCCAATAGGATGATAAGTCCACAAAGTTACTCTAATCGCAACACAAATTCCTGTCATGTTAACACCACACCTCTGACAAATCAACTTATCAATCCTCTCCAATAGGATGATAAGTCCACAAAGTTACTCTAATCGCAACACAAATTCCTGTCATGTTAACACCACACCTCTGACAAATCAACTTATCAATCCTTTCTAATAGGATGATAAGTCCACAAAGTTACTCTAATCGTAACACAAATTCCTGTCACGTTAACACCACACCTCTGACGAATCAACTTATCAATCCTCTTTAATAGGATGATAAGTCCTCAAAGTTGCTCTAATCGCAACACAAATTCCTGCCACGTTAATATCACACCTCTGACAAATCAACTTATCGATCCTCTTTAATAGGATGATAAGTCCACAAAGTTGCTCCGATCATAATAAATTCCCGTCATGTTAACACTAAACCTCTGACAATTAACTTATCGACTCTCGTCAATAGAGCGATAGGTCCTCAAGGTTGCTCCGATCGCAACAAATTCTTATCACGTTAATCCCACACCTCTGACAAAATCCACTTATCGACTCTCACCAATAGAACGATAGGTCTTCAAAATTACCCTGGTCATAATATTCAATCTTGTCACGTCAATATCACACCTCTGACAAAATTAACTTATCGACTCTTCTTAATAGAGCGATAGGTCCACATACCCGTCAAGTTAATATCACACCTCTGACGACCAAATTAACTTATCGACTTTCTTTAATAGAGCGATAGGCCCATAAAATACTGTTAGGTTAACATCATACCTCTAACAGTCAAACTCTCTCCAATGAACTTGTTAATCCTTTTTCAACAAGAATAGCAAGTTTTCATCATAAAATCCCCAGTTGATTAAATATTTTCTGGAATTATCCTAGTGATAATAAAGAAAATTTTTGAATTTCACTCTAAGTAAAAATTCATGCTAAATTAATACTGTATCTCTGGCGCTTCCAACTTTCTTTCAGTGTTTCAAGTAACACAGGAAGAAACAATGGCAAAGTCTACGTATTCAATATCGTAGCATCAAAATCCATGTCTTTTATGCATGGGAGACTTTATCTTAATCCCTAAATAGAGATAAGTCTGCATCTAAAACATGTTGCGGGTGGTTCATTCCTGCAATAATGGCGACGTCTACGTATTCAATATCGTAGCACCAAAATCCATGCCTTACACATGCTGTCGGGTAGCGCATTCCCGTAAAAATAGCAAAGGCCACGTATTCAACATCATGGTAGGTCATTATTAATAATGCTAAAATCCATGCCTTACATGTATGGGGGACTTTATCTCGATCCCTAATTAGAGATAAGTCTATGCCTAACACGCGTTTCTGGTTAGTCTTTTCACGTAAAAATGATAAAGTCTATGTATTCAAAATCATAGCATCAAGTCTAAGAGGGTTCATTCTCTTAGCACAACGTTACATGTAAAACGGATTCAAATAATTCACATGTTAGCCCGACTCAAACGGTAGTCGGTAAAGGCTTATCAAATTCGTTGATGGCTGAGGGTTTACCAAAAATCCTATGCATGATTACAGGCTCATCAACTTAATGGATGTGAGCCGAGACTTAAAACAAATGAGCTAAAGACAAGTCTCAAAGACTTAGTCAAAAAAAAAATGCATGAGAGCAACCTCCGCATCTCAAGTCGAAACGCCAAGGTCAGACCCGCGTTGCAAACACCAAAACGCCAAGGTCACACCCATGTTCCAAATTCAAAATGCAAGGGTCCTACGTGGCAAATCCCTTCAACCAGGCTCATCAGCTTAATGGATGTGAGCCGAGACTTGAAACAAATGAGCTAAAGACAAGTCTCAAAGACTTAGTAAAAAAAAATGCATGAGAGCCACCTCCGCGTCTCAAGTCGAAACGCCAAGGTCAGATCCGCGTTGCAAACACCAAAACGCCAAGGTCACACCCATGTTCCAAATTCAAAATGTAAGGGTCCTACATGGCGAATCCCTTCCACCAAGATGCCTTTGAAGCGATTGCAGAGAACGACTCCTTTAAGACAAGGAATCAACAGCTCCAAGATCAGATTTGAGATCCAAAGTATTCCAAAAATTCGTCCCAGTCAACCGCGAACTTTCAAAAACTTTGGAGGGGGTTCTGTAGGCTGTCTAAAAATCACAATAGATAGCTGATCCCTATCAAACACCGATGATGGAAGTTATAATCTGATGACTTCCAGAAGGTTACAATTTGAAGACTTTCACGTAGATCGATGAAGGTTACAATCTGACGACCTTCGCAACAACTGATAAAAGCTCTAATCAACAGCTATCACAATCAACATCGGGAGTTATAATCTGACAACTCTCATATTTTCAAGGAGCCAAGACAAAAATTACAAGATGACGGTCTTTGCAACGCTCTAGCAAAAGAGACTACAAAATTGACGGTCTCTTCAAATCCAGACGCAGAGCTTACCTGTACGACCCAGATTTAAAGCACATAGCTCATGGTTGTGTTCCTAGAACAAAACGCATAGGTCCTCCCTGCGTTGCCACACCAAAATGCGAAGGTCCTCCCCGTGTGTCAACACCAAAACACAGGGGTCGAACCCGCGTTGCAACATCAAAACGCAGGGGTCGAACCCACGTTGCATAAATGTAGCCACTGGAGCCATTCTAAAAAGGGAGAAATTAGCACTACTTGGTGAAATAGGTTCTTTTAGAATCAATTTCGAACCATCTGCTAGAGGTTGTAACAATCCGAACGATCCCACTACATCAGGACCCTTTCGACGTTGCACAAAAACCATTACTTTATGTTCAGCTAGCACTAAAAAGGCTACTCCTAGTAGAAGTGGTAGAATTAAACCAATTATTTCCGCTGGAACAACAATGTACGTTTTTGATAATCGCCTTTTGTGATCGAAACAACCTAGGAAAAGTTGTCAGCCTTCATCACCTACCTCCCAGAACAAGGGAAGAAGGTCTCAGATCCCTGTAGTTCGAGCCCCTTTTTTTAACCCAGTTCATGTACTGTTTTTTAATGAATTCCAGTCAGTAAAGTAATCTGGTGGAAGGGGGCCTCCTCACCACTCCCCCTCCCCTTATCATGAATGAATTCCAGTCAGTAAAGTAATCTGGTGGAAGGGGGCCTCCTCACCACTCCCCCTCCCCTTATCATGGAAGCAACCAAAACACCATTTGGTAGGCATGCCAACAAGATCTCATGAGAGCTTTGAATCAATCAGTAAGCTCACTCACAATCTACGGTTCAATTAGCACTTTCCAAAAAGGGAATTCGATCCATCTCAGGGAAAGGTAGTGATTGAGACAATCCAGCGGCGTGATTCTATGCTCAACTCAATAAAGAAGCCTTTCTTTCAGTGAGCGAAACCCTCGCCGCACAGCTACAAAATTATGAAACCTAGCGGCTGCTCGCTCTTTGATCAGTGATTCACCGGCCACTAGATCGATGAAGAATCTCTCCAAAATACGCTTTTTGATTAGTGATTCACCAGCCACTACATTCAAACATCAAAATGCAGGGGTAAGACCCGCGTTTTTTGTGTTTGACTGGTTCAAACAGAACCTACATGGTTTTAAAATCGTATCTCCACTTAATGGGGTCGGTTACACACCATTATGGAGAGATTTTAGGGGGGATTACACCCCTTAAACCCTTGAACAGTTCCAAAACTATTTTCCATGATTTGAGGGCGGTTATACCCCACTTAGGAGTGATTTAAGGGACGGTTACACCACCTTAATCCCCTATAAATAAGAAGAAACTCAACTGAGTTAAGGGTTAGAACTTCTTGGCTCGGATTAACCCTGGAGCTTGGCAGCAAAGAGAGAATCTTTGGAACATTCTCGGATCTAGAGATCGGCAACAGGAGCTTCTTTAATCATCCGATCTGGAAGTATTCTTCCGCAACTGAGATCAAGAAGCTTTCATCATTGGCTTATTAACCGAACTTTCGGTTCAAATAAACTCTTTCATAGAGTTTCAAACTCGTTCAGAGTTATCAACTCATCAAGAGTTTCAAACTTACCACGCAAGTTCTCCACAGAGTCAAACCGTGAGGAGAAGATATCATTCCAGTGAATCAAGACGTTCGGATCGTCAACAGAGAGCAAACTCGACGCGAGCATTCGAGGGAGGCACTCCATCACCACCGTCAAGAACCCAGAATTAAAAAAAGGGGAGAATCCAGATCATTCTCCTCTCTTTTATAATCAGGAAATTCAATTGTAATTGAGATCGAGAGAATACAAATCAAATTTCTTTTATTCTTTTTACTACAAATTTTCCACTAAACACGTGGAGATCGATGCAGCTCCACATTATCCAGATGGTACAGTATCCATTAGAGTGCCGACTGAGATGACGCCAGGTGAGCACGGCGATGACGAGGAGGATACGAGTATAATTATGTAGGATTAGGGACCGACGGCTCAGGTTCAGGATTCTATTGTGGTTCGGAGACAGAGGAGAGACATACGGATGCCAACACGGTATGCCGACACAGTTACGTATGTACTTTCAGTGGAAAGTATCGATGAGATGGTGCCTACTACATTTAGAGAGGACGAGCAGAGTTCGGAGGCTGATTCATGACAGGTAGCTATGCAGGAGGAGATGGAGTCTCTTCATAAGAATGATACATGTGAGCTTGTTGAGCTTCCAAAGGGGCGGAAGGCGATTGGTTGCAAGTGGGTATACACGAAGAAGGAGGACATTGAGGGCACTCCATTGAGGTTCAAAGCTAGGTTGGTTGTGAAGGGCTATGCACAGGAGGAATGTATTGACTATAATGAGGTTTTCTCTCTGGTGGTGAAGCACTCTTCGATTTGGATTTTGCCAGCTTTGGTAGCACAGTATGGTTTGGAGTTAGATCAATTGGATGTAAAGACGGTATTTCTTCATAGTAATTTTGATAAAGAAATATATATGACTCAGCCATTAGGATTCTGAGCTGCAAGGAAGGAAAATTTGGTTTGCAGGTTGAAGAAATCGTTATACGGTTTGAAGCAGTCTCCTCGACAGTAGTATAGACGATTCGATGATTTTATAATTTGTCATTCGTACACTCGGAGCCAGTTTGATCCTTGCGTATATTTTTGCAAGTTAAAAGGAGGTGCGTACATCTATTTATTGCTCTATGTCGATAACATGTTGGTTACCTCTATTTCCAGATCTTCTATAGATGAGTTGAAGGCACAGCTTTCAAAGGATTTTGAAATGAAGGATTTGGGTGAGGTGAAGCGCATTTTAGGGATGGAGATCGACAGAGACAAGAGGAATATTCTATGTTTATGAAGTATATGGCGAGATTGAGCGATTACATCTGGAAGGAGATGAAGTTATTCACGGTCGAGACTATTGCAAAGGCGAGCGTGAAGGCTATTGTCATTAAGAGCAAGCAGAAGAAGGGCAACGAGACTAAGAGAGACTCCAAATAGATGGGAGGCGAGTCTAGTGGTTCCAAATATAAGGAGGAGAAGAAGGGTGATCCAGGGAAAGCAGAACTGATTTGTAGTCACTGCGAGAAGACATGGCATGTTGCTGATCGGTGCTGGGAGAAGTATCCTCATCTCAAGCCAAGAGGATTGAAGAAGAAGGAGAAGAAAGAGGCATATGTGATAGCTCAAGATCCAAAAGAAGTCCCGGGGATAACAGATCCTAACAGCAGTCTCAACCTTATGGTGGGAAGACATGCCACGAAGGAGGACGACGACCCGAAAGAGCAACTCTTTGTGCTTAAGTTGCAAGTGAAGACCAGTTTGGTTGATATCATAGTTGATCCGGGCAATGAGAAGAATTTGATATCCGAGGCCTTGGTTCAGAAGCTGGGTTTGAAGATGGTCAAGCATCCAAAGCCTTATCCATTGGGGTGGATTCAGAAGGAGGAGAGACTGAGTGTAGTTGATCAATGCACTGTCAAATTTATGCTCCATGAGTCATATATTGATGAGGTCACGTGCGATGTAGTTTTATTGGATGTTTGTCAAATTATACGGGGCAAACCATACTTATGGGATAGATATACGATCTATGAGAGGCGGGCTCAGAAGCATACATTCACCTAAGGCGGTGAAATGTTCGTATTTCGTTCGGTGTCTCTTCTGAGGGAGACAAGCATAGGGACGGTGACGCGAGCGAAGAGGCTAGTGAATGTAAGTAAGAAGTTTGTCTCACTGTGCATTAGACTTCCAGAAAAGCCATCGAAAGAGGATTGCATGTTAAAGCAGAAGACGACTATGACAAGGCAAGGAGCGAAGGAGTCGTTTCCAGTTGTATGTCGCTATCAAGTTCCTAGCTGGCCAGGTGGTGCAGAAAAGATAGAGGAGCTCGGGAGTTTCCTCAGCTGAAGTTCTAACTTGAACGGGACTTTAAGTTCCTAAAGGGGAGACCCATGATACGGGTGTATCTTCTCTTCAGAACTTAGTGATCCTCATGAGAGCTTGAGGATAGCTGTTTCTCATGGTAGCTTGAGAATAGAGGTGTAAAACAATATAGTGGAACACAGGTTAAAGCGTGAAACGAAACGATGAATCGAAGAATCGAAGCATCTAGTTTTCAGCCCGTGGGTCGACTCATAACAATCATGAGTGGACTCATCAGGTTGAGTCGACTCATGCCTGTCATGAATCAACTCACGAAACCCAACCGTTTGTCACTAGTCTGTGACGAGTCGACTCATCTCAGTCATGAGTCGACTCATTGCTGGTTTTGTGTTTTGTCTAGTTTCGGATGAGTCGACTCATCTCAGTCATGAGTTTCCTAGTTCGTTTGGATTTCTGTTTGTACGAATTCCTATTGGGTTTGGGCTTAGTTATTTACCACTTTACCATCCATATTGTTACACCTATATAAGGGATTGTTTAGGGTTTCTAATAAATCAGATATAATCAAAGTGAGATTCTAATCAAGAGAGATTAGTGTTTAGAGAGAATTGAGAGTGTGTTCTTGATTCTAGTGAGATTGTGAGAGAGGGATTGTAATCTTGTCATACTCATAATCTAGAGATGGTATTTTTCTTCACCACATACTGAATTGTTCTTGTGTTTCTGTCATTCTCTTCTCACCTTTGATAATTCTGTGATCAAAGGTGCTTGCAAGACGACTCGTATCAAAAAATTAAATTGATACAGACTTGCTGAAAAAGAATAATCTTTGTTTTACTAGCTTCATTTACTTAAATTCTGATAGGGGTGGATGTAATGCCTAGCTAGGGGTGCAATTGCACCCCTATACACTTATAAATTTGCATGTAGAACCATGAAAATTTTACATCCGCCTCCCATATATTTTAAAATTGCACCCTAAGACCTAAGCAATCTAAAAACACTCAAGAAATTAGTAACAATTTTGAATTAACACATTGAAAAGTAAAAGTTCTCTTTAAAATTTTAGCAATAAAGTTGTTGATGCTCGAGAACAAATAGTCGATGGAGGTTTCCCGTTATCAGATGCAGCTTCGATCCTGGTGACAGTGGGGAAGAAGGAGAGGATGAATGTTGGGGCTGACTCTTCCTCTCACTTTATGCCTGATTCTTAGCACGCGGGGTGGAATGATAGCCTGCACATGCAAGAATCACAGTAATACGGGGCTAGTTTCTCCCGTGGAACCTCCGACGGTCAAGTCAGTTGATGAACTTGAGAAGGGTTTTTTGAGAGGCCCCTAGGCCATTGAGGTCCTTACAGGGGGGTTTTCCTCTTGGAATTATTAAAATATAAAAAGGGAGTAAAGCTAAGGTGTAAGAAGAAGTAACTAGAGCTCTCCCGTCCTTACCTTCCTTACCTCCTTTTATAACCCCTTGCCTCTGGGAGTTTGACCCTCGGATTTTGTTGACTATGCATAGGAGGTGGTTTGAAATGTGA